CACACACACACACACACTCTCACACACACACACACACACACACACACACACACACACACACACAGTGCTGCTTAAACAGAATGTACAGGACACAGAAAGCTCAATATGGCTCTCTCGGGTGTGTTTTTACCTGAGAGTACCGAGCGTTTCTTCATAATTAATATCTGCGGGGCTCAGAGCAGCAATCATGGCCGTGCGCGAGTTTCCACCTTCAAACACAAACACATAATTAAATCATTCGCAACAAAACCAAAAAGGTCTATTCACACCAAAATGAAAAGCATTTAGTACCCTACTCAACATTACTTTATGTAATTATTAGAGTGAAATATTAATACATCAACAAATTAAAGCTTTGTAGTATTTCTCAATTAGGCAAATAATGTCAAGCAATTATTCAAGTAAACTGTCAGTCAGTAATAGAGAAATAAGCGAAGAGCAGTAGTTCTTTTTCTTCTCGATATTGCTGTTTGATTGATATTAATAACATAATAGAGCGCGACAGGTCTATTAGACCTCATTTTTGGGCACTTGCTCATTCACTACTATACATAAGTTTGGTGTCAGTAAGTTGTTTTTGAAAGAAGTCTCTTCTGCTCACAAAGGTTGCATTTATTTCAACACAAACGGTAATATTGTGAAATATTATTATGATTTAAAATAGCTGTTTTCTATGTGAATATCTGTTAAACTGTAATGTATTTCTGTGATGCACAGCTGTATTTTCAGCATCATTCCTCCAGTCTTCAGTGTCACATGATCTTCAGAAATCAGTATAATATGCTGATCTGCTGCTCGAGAAACATTATTATTATTATCAATGTTGAACACAGTTGTGCTGCCAAATATTGTTGTGGAAACCTAGATATATATTTTTTTTCTGGATTCTTTGATAATTAGAAAGTTCAAAAGAACAGCATTTATTTGAAACAGAAATCTTCTAAAATTTTATACATATCTTTACTGACATTTTTTATCAATTTAATGTCTCTGAGCTGAATAAAATTTTTTCTTTCTTTAAAAATTTTTTTTTTAAATCTTTCTGATCCTGGATTTTAGAACAGTAAAGTATTCAAAACAAATCAACTGTTTACATAAATAAGCATTTTAATAATCCAGGCAACCGAAACTTCCAAAAATCCTTAAAGACGTCATAAAAGTAAACCGCACTTGCTTGATGAGCGAGAACAAACCTCAACGGCTTTTGCAGAAGCTCGAGTGTCTTTATGAATATTTGTGAAGTGTCCAAATTTTGGTTGCATGGATGTGTAATCTTTCAGGTGACACTGAATTTATCTTCATTTGTATTTTGAAGAAATACACGTTTAGAACAACATGAGGGCGAGTCAATGAAGTCCATTTTTAGGTGAACTATCCCTTTAAATATGCTAATTTCCTTAACACTGGAATTCTTTTCATTTTTTTTAATATGTGACCTAGGACCACAAAACTAGTGGTGAAATTTGAAAATCTGGAATCTGAGGGTGCAAAAAAAATCTAAATATTGAGAAAATCATCTTTAAAGTTGTTCAAATTAAGTTCTTAGCAATGCATATTACTAATCAAACATTAAGTTTTGATATATTTAGAGTAGGATATTTACAAAATATCTTCATGGAACATGATCTTTACTTAATATGCTAATGATTTTTGGTATAAAAGAAAAATCAATAATTTTGACCCATACAATGTAATACCCCAGCGACTTAAGACTGCTTTTGTGCTCCAGGGTCACATATCTACATCTTCCAGAAGACACACAGCTGCTATCTGCACGTCTGTATGTTCCCGGAAGCCCACATGAAGAATATGCATCACAAAATTATTTTTCTGTTACCATTTAATCTTGTATTCACAGGCAAGTTAGAGAGCATCTCCAGATTTAACATCACGAGGCGATGTCTGCCAGAAGACTTCATTAATGACTAGTTGGATGTCACATAAACTTCTAGTTGGCTTTGAGAATCAGACCAAACTGGTTTTAGACGCCAGAGAGTCTGTGAACCGGCCTTTGGAGAGCAAGACATACCTAGATTTTCTCTCAACAGCCACGTGAGCACAGAATCTCTGTAGGGAATGAAATCAGAGCGTCTCTTCTTCGAGCCCTGCTGTGGAGGAGAAACATACTGTTACTCTTGACAAAGAACTCTGTATCTGAGACAAAACACTGAAAGACAATTGAAGAGATGAAGACACTGATGAGAAATGAGGTGAAGAACCGAACCGAAGCAGCAGTAAGAAACAAAGGAGAGACGCAACTACTAAAGAAAAGAAAATAAGAAGTTCCTACCATGTCTGCCAGTGCTGAGATGACTTTACCCAGTGTTGTCAGAGATTTGTTAATATTGGCTCCCTCCTGAAAAAGACATGATGCTTTTAAACTTTCTGTTAATGCTTGATAAGATTAATACAACCAAAAGTAAGTTGTCATAATTTACTCCGCACAATGCTTTTCTGGAGCTTTTCAATATAATTCAAGTAACTGTCCAAAATGTACACAAAAAAAAAAGGTTTCCACTCATATATATATATATATACACACACACACACACACACACACACACAC